TACGTACGACGTTTTTATATTCTCCAATATCCCTGAATTGCTTATACTTGCATAATTTGATTTGTTAAGTTTAAATGACATCTACTGATTTCCAGGCATTTAGAAGAAAGCCACCCACTGTACAGGGCTAGACATTCAAATACTTCGTATTGCGTCCTATGTTTTTGTTAGTCATTTTAATTCTGTACTTTAATGGCATCATACTTCATGCTTGAGTCTGTCATTCCAATACTTAATTTTGGATTTAGCACTCTAGCTCAATACCTCCAGTGTTCACACTCAATCCTTTTGTGTTTTTATCTACAGTCAGGTTTCCCCTTCCCCCTTTAGTAGTTGTTTCAGAAGGAGTCTATGACGATTTTGTTGCCAAAGGGCCTGCATGGTCAGAATATTTGCTTCCAGTTTTTATATGGTAGGAGCTGACTCGACTAATTGGTCATCAAACTAGTGATTCCCACAAAACTAAGATATGGATTATTTCCATGCCACCCTCTACATTGTTAGATATCTCAGCTGCTGTATTTGTTGTTGTTTTTGTTATTGTTTAGGTTGTGACAAAATTCAACCTTTTGCAAACTTCTAACAGCTGCATAAGATAAAGCCTCTCAAATATTTTCCTACTCCAAGGCAAAAATCAATGAGCCACTGAAGAAAACTTCTAAACAGCAACATAACTCCAGCATCATGGGCTTAACATTCTGTCCAGTTAATGCAGGCCACACACTGTCTGGGCTATCTCTGCCCTTTTCCCACAGGATATAGAGCTATCATTTAGGGATGTTTAGGAATGGAAGGGGTTGTTGAGGTATCCAATGCAAAGGTATCATTTTAAGCTGAAGAAAAGGGATGTGAAGGAACTGAAAGCAGTAAAGAGGCTTTTTTCCTTTGGTTGGTTTTTGGTTTTGTGTTTTATGGTTAAGTCACTACTAGCAAGCTGTCAGGCTTTGCACCACTGTTACTTCCATGAATGGACCCTTTCTACTTCCTCTGTCCTCTAGAAATTCCATGATCAGAAGTGTTTCCCTGCAAGTAAAAGGAGTTAGCACATGCCTGACACACAGAACAGTTCACCTAATCTGACAGCTATTGTTATTTTCCACATTCTACCTATGGAACGGCACACAAGGTGGCTGGATTATGGCTTTCAGTGGGTCTGTTGTTAAATACATACTCTGTCAGTTTTTAATTTTCTGTTTCATTTTAGAACAAGATTTATTTTTATTTTTAATTATTCACCTGTGCACATAAGTATGGGTTCTTGGGGAGGCCATAGGTGTTAGATCATCCTACAACTGGAATTACAGTTGGTTGTGAGCTGCCTGATGAGGGTGTTAGGAATCAAACTCTTATCATCATTTTGAAATGTCACTAGCTTATACTGAAGATATAGGCCAGATTCTCTGTTCAGTACACACATTTGGCCTCAAAAATCCATTAATGAATATTGTTATTAAACTAAGGAGCTAATTACTTTGGATACATACAAAATGAACAAAATCCTAGGCCAACTGCAGCTGGTAGTAATAACAGTGAAGCTAGCCATGTGTTACACAAGAGACTTAAGAACAAAGACATCAACACCAGTGCAACAAACACTCACAATTATCCTCCAAATGGAAGAATCAATACAGTTAGCAAACTCCAGAAAGCATGTTGGAGTTACCCAATACAACCAATGAGGAATATTTTCAAGGAGTTGGTTGTATAGCAACTTGAAATTAGCAATGTTCAATAAAAAGAGAAACATGCAGAATTTTGTTCTCCTATAATATACCACAGGTGAAGAGTTACATCCAAAAATTTTTCAACTTAAATATTATTCCCATACTCAATAAAATGTAGTTTAAGAAGCAAGACTTTGCTCGAGACTACTTTAAAAAACAATCATAGATCTGTCATATCAATGTTTTTCAATTTAATTTTTTTTACTTGTATAGGTGGTCTGCCTGTGTGCATCACATGAATGCAATGCACACGGAGCTGGAAGAGACACATCAGTTCTTCTGGAACTAGAGTTTGAGGCTGTTGTAAGCTGCCATGTATGCTAAGAATCAAACCCACATCCTTAAGAAAAGCAGCTAATGCTGCTAACCACTGAGTAATAGCTCCAGCTCCTCACACACATTTCTAAAATGTTAATTTTTTTCAAATGACTAAATACATTTTTGTAGCCTTTTAAAGTATTTTCAGCTTACATTTAAAATACAACTTTAATAGAACTGGAGATCAATATGCTAAACAAAATAAAGAGATTCTGAAGAACAAATATTGCATGTGTTCTCCCACATATTAATGTAGAACTTTTCAAGTCAGAAAAATAAAAGAGGGGGGGTCATATGGGAAGAAGAAGGAATCGTATTGAGATGAGTCAAGTTAAGGTGAAACATATCAGAGGTGAGTAGAATTAAAGTGTACTCCACGTATGTATAAAATGTCACCAGATATTCTGAATAAATAATATATGCTAATAATAATAGCATCTCAGTGGGAAAGAGGGTTTTAAGCCCAGGGAGGTAATAAAAGATCAGATTCAATTCTGTAAGTTGAGGATAACTGCCAGAATAATTTTGATTAAATAATATTCTTATTCCTTTCTAGTATCTTCCGATGCATTTCCAGCTTATAAAAATAGAAGACAATAGAGCAATGTCAAAATATGGTTTAATAACTTCCTGTATTTACTTATATAGATTATGAATATTTTCTATACTAGTAATTTTTCTACATACATTGACATCTCAACATGTTGAGACCCATAAGCCCATCTCAATATCTTTATATGTCTCATAAATTTCTTTATTATATATGATCATAATAACAGTAACATCCATCTCTTCTCCCACCATCATAGTTACAAGCAGATCAAGCCTGAGGGAGGCGAATCTTGCTGTTTCCCTTCTGGACTGTGAATATGTGTCCCAGACAAGTGAAATCATTGCTTATTTTAGATCCAACCACATTGATAATGTTTAGATACATTTTTCACTTCTCAACCTTCCTCCAAAAGGGTTTCCTGCTCCTATCCTTACCAAAATATCATCATTGCAAAATAGGTGGTGAATTTCTCCTTGCTCAGTCACATCGGGCCAGGTGGTTGTTTGCTGTTAGACTTTTATTCGCCAGGATAGGAAGAAGAAAGGATTCCTGAGAAACCAGACTTTAGGAGCTCAGCCATGCCTCCCTTTACTCGGATTTTATGCTGCCGTGATTCCATGACATTTCTGTCATTTAATTTCACCTCATATTTTGCATTGGACCTGCCTCATACAGGGCCCTGAGATTGTATGGGCACTGTAACTTAAAAACACAGTCTGATAAATATGATTATGCTAATAAGGTACCTCACCTGAGGACAAGACTGTACTCGCTCTCACCTGCTCCACTGAGGAAGAGGAGGGGGATGAAGAGGGAGAAGTAAGGAAAAAGGAACAAGAAGGTAGGTGTGGTGTTTTTGAAACTGAAATATGACAGAAAATTAACACTAAAAACTGTTATGCAATAGTTTCAGAACTTTTGAAACTCTAAATTTATATATCATAAATTTTAGGATTCTCATGATGTAGTGTACAGACTTTATATTCAGATGCATTCATCTTGAGAACAATTCCTATTACCAATACTCATAAAATTATTATTTTAGTTAATACAGTTCTGCAAATAATTAATCTTATCACTTACAAATCACTGCCTCATCTTCTGTATATAAACCTGATCCATTTTCTACGTGTGACACGAATGGCTAATGTGTACAGCCAAAGGATGCCAGGGGAATGTGCTTCTTAATGTTTTCTTCCTTCTCACATTTTATGGACAAGAAATCCACTAAGTGTGAATGAGCGTAGAGAGTAATGGGGAAATGTCAATCAGACTGAAATGCAGCCCAACACCCTTGATTACACCCCTCACTCCTTACTATGAACACAGAACCATGTTAAGTCTTCAGGGACTCATCATAACAGTAATTGCCCCTATGGGCCACTTCTGTAGCTGGAATATAAAAAGCAACCCTTTTTAAACTTAAACCCACAAATGATAATAATGAAAAAAGTTAAGTGAGATATCAGAGCAGAAATCAGTAGTGACAGTCACCAAATACACATGTATCCTGTCATAAATGCATCAAATGCTTTATTAATTCTCATCCAGCTAAGAATGAAAGTGGTGAGGTATGTACGAAACAGATGTTTTCTCTTGAAATCAAAGCCCGATTTCTCAAAAATGAAAAAGAGCCCCTATTACACAAAAACTTTCCTAGTCAACTCTAGAAAGACTTACTGTATTTCACTTTCCAGATATTTCTACAACTAGATCTAATAACCTTAAATGTCTGAATAAATTACAGCATTACACAAGATAGAGTCACAGAAAGAGATAGTAAGGGGGGGGGACCCCCATTGTGAAAGGGAGATGTAAATTAGGGTATCATCTTGATATTCAAAAAGGAATATTAATGAGATTTAATAATTCAAATTGGGGCAATAAAAAGGAAGTGATAGTTTATCACTTCTGTGCCAAAATTCCCTCTACATACTCTCTGACTAAAGGAAACTACAGAAAAGCCCAATAATAACATTCAAATTATAAATTAAACATAAATGACTTTGAATTTCACTTTATAGTTTCTTAAAGCCTCCAGAGGATCATCACCAAGGGCAAAGTGTAGTCAAATCCCTGAGAATTTAGCATTCTGGAATATGTATGGAGGCCAATTCTTTAAAGAATTTTTCTCTCACTCTCTTTGGCTCTTGTACACATTCAGGTTTTCGGGTGTCTATATATAACAATTTCGTGAGTAGAGATGGATGGTCCAGGCTTTCTATGCACCCTTACCTCTGTGTCCTGGGGTGCTTACAGCAGTTATAAATCCTGTTCTACCTATTTTCTATCTTTGATGTGGGATGCCCCAAAGTGCTTATTTTTCTCATATTTAACTGCTTTTAGTTTTCAATAACGTAGCATTAACGATTGATGTGATTAAAACTTACTTAAGTCTCACTTACCTTCACATCTTTATGTTCATCCAGGAAGTTCTGTACATACGGAGGAGAGACTTCCAAGAATATGACAAAGTGGGTTGCCTAGTTTCTGAGAGTATCAGCTGACTGTCAGAGATCCTGAGGTGGGCAGCCAAAAGCACCAGTCTGAAGCCAGTGGGGCCTGGTTATCTCTAAACAGAGCAGAGAGATGGACAGTTGATCACCTGTAATCTACAGTCGCCAGGATCTGCTGGGGACAAGGTTACTCTCAGTAAACTAATAGTGTTACTAAGTTTAAACTTGGCTGGGGTTTACTGCTCCCCAATTTAGCACAGTTGTCATTTAAAATTTCGTGACACTGTGAAGTCAGCATCACAGGATGACTCCGAAGGCAGAGGAGTCAGCATGAGTTCTTATTGTGCTGACTATTTTTTCAAACATTGAACTAAGCAGTATAATTACTAATTTTAATTTTGATATGCAGGTGCTGAATTCATTCTGACTTTCTATGTCAAGGTTGATGAGATCCCTTGGAAATACATTTTTATACCAAAGTTTATGATATCCTGTAAAACATAAAAATAGGATATTTTTACTAAATTACCATGGAATCACCTGATAATTTTGCAACTTTCTTTCAAATGGGCAATGCTTCGAAGATAATTAAGCATACACATGGATAAAAGTCCTTCCTAGTTTGTATGTGTGATAGCATGTGCTTTCCTGCTCAGGCAAACCGAAATTCTTTGCTGAGTGAGTTAAGCAGACAATGACAAGAGTTAGTAGAAAAGGAGAATAAAACACCTTTAAAATTGATAATCAACAATGCAATTGCTTTTTGAAGGGGGAAAGGAAGCACAAAGTACAAGCAAACCTAAGATCATAAGCACAGGGACAGGTGCACACTAAACAATGAGCACAGAAGACTTCGTGTGAGCATAGCTCATGCAAAAGGCTCCAACACCACCCAGCTACCTTCTTCTTTCCTGTGTCTCACAAACAGAAATAATAGGATAATGTGTCCTTGACTTAGACCATAAGAAACGCAACAGATACTGAATAAAAATGCTACCAGAGCTTTGATTTATTAATTAGTAAATTGATTCTTGATGCTTTTCACTTGTGTACATTTATTGGAATAGGGCCATGATGCTTCAAGGTAGGTAGCTATCTTGTTCCCATAATAAAAAAAAATTCAATGAAACTTCAGAGAAGCAAAAATACAGCCACCTATGGATGAGCAGCAGAGTCAATCATACCAATTTTAAAATGTCATTGGTTTGAAATGGCACTGGGATTGGGGCTAGAGTGATGGTTCATAGGTCTACTAGTTGTTTTTCCACAGAATCCAGGTTCAGTTCCTAGCACCCATATGGTGGCTCCAAACTATATCTAACTCTAGTTCCAGGTCTATCTTCCAACCTCGTCAGGTACCGCATACAAGTGATACACAAACATACAATTAGGCACAATACAAATAATACTACTGGATTCTCAGTTCCTTGCTAGCAGAAGCCTTGCTGGCTAAGCATGTGCCATGCTGTGAGTAGTGATATCTTCCTCCCTTCCCCATCATGCATACTTACCCACATGGGCGGGCACACACACACACACACACACACACACACACACACACAACTTTCTTCTCTTAGTGTCTAGTATCATCTTTAAATTTTATGACTGATCATGACCAAACTTTCAGTCCAATACCTTAGGCAGTTGCATACCATCTTGTGCTGCATGCAAATCTTGTGCTAATATTCAGTCTTCTGCTCTATACAGTGCTGTACATGTGCAACCCCAGCACTCTGGAGGCATTGTCAACAAAACTGTAAGTTTGAGGCAAGCCTTGGATGCATAGTGAGATCTTATCTCTCTCAAACAACCAAAATGAAACAAACCACATCATAGACTTATTTTCATAAGCAATAGGGAGCCTTTCTGTTTACCTCATTTTTAGATAAACAACATTCAACGAAGAGTTTAATAGATACCAAGCACCAAATGTATATCTAAATTCCTCATAAACCGTATTATCAAGTTCGCTTCATGCTTTAGTTTCTGGATTACTTATAAGCCTGTTGAACATAAGGATATATCTAGTCTATTTGTTGGGAACCAACAGCTGATGACTTACAAGCACCAGAGTTGAGAGGTGTTTGATTTGTTGATGTTCATTAGTGTACAGTGGTTCCTCTTTAAAAGACTAAAGTTTTTCTCTCTCACAAATGGGTAGGTAGATACTACTTTTCTACACTAAGATAAATAAGCAAGGACAAACATATTATTATTTTGTCAAAATAAAAAGGTCAGAAAAATTGGAAGCATGTCTGATTCTATGGAAGCGTCTTAATTCTATGTAAGCTCTGCAGATTACTTATGAAGAGGCATCTGCGCATATTGACAACATTCAAACAAACTTTGTGTTAAGTGGATAGACTCTTGTGTCTTCAGATATGACACGATTTGTATTTAAAACTAGAGGCAGAATTCCCTATTAGTGATCATTGCAAGCTAAATCTTTTCTGAGGAGTAGATGTGCTTCATTTGGAAAATTGTTACCTTTGAATATTTGTCTGAAAAGAGCCAAAGAGAAACTCTGTTGATTCAAAGATAGATATAAAGTTATGTCTTCTGTGCTATCCTATGTTATACACAGACCACACTCTAAATGAAGGGACTATTTTCTAAACAGTTTAACAGAAGAGCTTACAGAGGAAGCCAACAAGCAGTGACACACCTGGGAGGATGTGTGTAAACAGGAGGGAGTCGCCATGCTTGTGTCCTCAGGCTCCTGACTCTATCTACCATGGCTAGACAATGTTTTCCAAGTTAGACACAGGTAGACATTTGGAAATGCACAAAGCAAGGAGCCAGGAAATGAAAACACAGACAATGAAAGTTTCATACTTGAACACTATTCTTCCAAACTTATTCCCCAGTCCTGTCAAGCAATGTTGAAGTTTCCCCAAGGTGTGCTTATTTAGGAAGTAACTGCCTTTGTGTTTCTACAGACTGTTGTTCGGTCCCATATCCTCTCTAGATCATTTAGAACATCGACTTTGTTAGAGAACTACCGAGATGGAAGGAAGGAAGGAGGCTAGAGAAAAAAGGAAGTCATTCTTCAAGAAACACAGTTTGAAAATGACTCCAAAGAGTTCTTGAAAGAAAAGAGAAATCAAAGAGAAGCCTGTTTATACCTTTTCTCCAGGGTACCAAAAGATATTTTAGGAAGTTAGTGAATCATGACTTAATAGTCAATTGTTTTTCAACAAAATAGATCTCATCAGGGTGTGAGTCACGCTTTCATTTCCCCTGTGGCTCAGGCTCCGAAGTGTAGGTTAATTCTGCACCATTTACTTTGTTCTTTGCGTGTATGCATATTTATGTATCGCATACATAAGAAATGAACTTAACCGAGAGAGAATACACATTGCTCTATGTACCTCTTCATGCCATCTTCCCAGTACAGTAAAGCTAATTTGTATCTACAGAATATTCCACACGCCAGGCTTTAAATTTCACTTCCTTACTGATTTATGAATCTACTGATAAAATTGAGTTTGTGTTTTTGCACTAAACTGAAGCATGGGTCAGATAGTGGTAACACATACCTCTAATCTCATTATTCAGGAAACAGAAGTGGGCAGATCTCTGGGATTTCAAGGCCAGCTTGGTCTACAGAGCTAGTATTAAACAGCCAAGGCTGCACAAAGAAACTCTGTCTCAATAAACAGACAAACTGAAACATCTTCTATAATTTAACCTTTGTGTTTCCTTAAAAAAGTTTTTATTTTGTTAAGACTAAGAGATTGCTGACTTATGCTCACATTGTGTGGGATTATTACTGTCTACTTCTATTAATATTTAAAAAAACATTATGACACAGAGCTTTTAGTCATTTGCAATGAAGTTAGACCCACAGAGACTTTATGAACACAAAAGAAAAACCTTGGAGTTTTCTCTTGGTCAGGAGTTGACCAGAATCCTGTGTCCATCTGGAACCTGTGCAGATGTCTCCTTAATTTTCCCTCTATCTAGATGATTTATCTCCCCTGACACCACACACACACACACACACACACACACACACACACACACACACACCATGTTTACTGATCAGTGACTTCCAAGCCATGAGGAGGCCTTATGGATGTAAAGGATCCAAGGATGCTGGAGTATTGGAAATTGTCCTATCTAGGTGTGCTTCCCACTCAGGTGCTGACATAGTTCTTAAGTGTCAGTTCCTAGCAAGTGTGGGAAACTATTACCTCCTTCAAACTCTCAGAACAATAAACATGGGAATCAGTGCCCTTGACCATGGCAGATTTCTCAAGGACAAAAAGTTACAGTGTTCATTCTACATGACCCTGACTTACCTGATCCATTCTGCACATTGACAGTCTTCACTGTGGCTCTTTTTTCTTTGTTTAAAAGGTGTCTACTAGGGGAAATGCCAGTCAGGGATGTCTTTATTCTGTGCATTGTTGTGATAATTTATACAAACCACACACAGCTCACAGCAGGTAGCATTCACTTTATATAGACACCCAGTTCAACTGTTCAGTGAGGCTCACAAGTATTTATTGAACACATGCAGCCAGTTGAAGAACTGTGAATGTTTTTAATACGTTCATATTTCATAGAATATCCAAATGCCAAGTACTTTATCCTTTTTCTTGTTTGTCTCTTTGCTCTTGATGAGCTACAGTCGAGTGTTTCTCTTTTTATGTGAAGGGTCTCCTGAGTCCAGGACTGTGCCATATGTATCTCTCTGCCTACAAGAGAACGTTGGGCTGGAATAGAAGCTTCTAATGCATGATGATGTGAGATGGTATTTTACATGAGTGTAAAAGAAAAAAATTACTATCCTTTATCTCCTATCATTTTCATTTTTTTTCTGTCTCAGGCAAGACAGGAGGTTTGCATTGCTTCTAAGTGTGAGCATGATACATTTAGATACGCGTTCCATCACTCTACAAGATAAAACATATGCTTTGTAACAATTAGCACTACAATTTTATGCTGAATTGAAATATTTCAGACTTTGATGGGCTCAGCAGATACACGCACAGGGAAGATAGATGTCAAAGAACAGGCAAATGTTTTACTGTCTCCATCATTGATACTGTTGGCTCTGGGCCCACTCGGTTGGTGCTGCTTTCTCAGAAAGTGAATCACACATAGAAATTATTATGACTTTGAAAATGGGTTTACAGAGCTGGGGAGAAAGCTCAGTGTGACAGTGTGTCTTGTGTAACATTAGGATCCCTAGAAACCACTTCAAAAGTGTTGGATGTGTTGGCATGTCCATGTAATCTGAGGACTTGGAGGTGGAAATTGATGAAATAGATCTGTCCACCAGCCTTGCCACAGACCACTGAGAGACCTTCACTCAAGGTTGTCTTGTGGCCTCTATGCCCAGCACATGCATGCATGTGTGTGTTTATACACACATGTGTGCATGCATGTGTGTGTGTGTATGCATGCGAACATGTGCGAGCATGTGCACACACACATGCACACACACACATACATACACACACAGAGAAAGGGAGAGAGAGAGAGAGAGAGAGAGAGAGAGAGATGTGATATAGGCTATTTTTTTTTTTTTATTGTTATATGTTTTTTTTTTTTTTTTTTTTTTTTTTTGTTTGGTCCAAAACACTCAATTTACTTATCATAGTCAAAAGGACAAATTTTAGAAATCTGTTTTGAGCCACATATCCATCAGCCCAGCACTCAATAGGCTGAGGAAGGAGGACCCTCAGTTTGAGTCCAGCCTGGGATACAAAGCAAAATCTTGTCTCAAAACAAACAAAAATCCACTTTAAAATAATAAACTTTCCGGTTTCGAACTAAGCTAAATATGTACTTTGTATTCCCCAGTCCCATCCATCCAGACTTGCATTCCTTATTATCGACTTCACCAAATAGTAAGTTCTTGTGAAATGCCAAATCACATACTCAGTGACAGTATGTACGGCGACAGCCTAACTTATTTAAACCATTTCTACAATGGCTCAGTTTAAAACTCATTATAGCTTATAATCCAGATAACATATTTGCATAATGGGACAAATAAGGCTTTGGAAAATCAGTATTTTATTTCTTCATATGTATGACGTGCGTGCCTGTATATGTATATTCCCATGTGTGGGAGTGTGGAGATATATACACTTGGAGCTCAGAGGTTTACATTGGGTATCTTCCAGAATCATTTCCTACCTAACCTACTGAGGCAGTGTGTCTCAGATGGACCCAGAGCTCACTCTAGCTGGCCACATTGATGCCTCCCTCTCTATGCTGCCAGGCTCTACAGTCCTGGGATTACACGCAAGCCACAATGCAGGCCTAACATCTACTGCTGGGGATCCCAGCTTCAGTTTAGGAGGCAGGTGCTTTATCCATTAAGCCATCTCCTCAACCCCCAAACAGCATGTCAGAGGATGAAAATATTTGCATTCTAAAGTAGACATGTCTTGAAATGTCTTAATTATGTGCATGGCTGTGATTTTATTTTTTTAAGCTCGGATGTAGCTCAGTGGTAGAGGGCTTTCCTAGACTATGCAAAAGCCTAGGTTCGGTTTCTGGCAGTGTAATTTTTAAAAACAAACTGGATGATAAATTTCTTTACTAGCCCCTACCACTGAAGTCCTAGATTTGGGGATAGAAGAGAGAAGGTATGGCTCAGTAGCATCAGAGTGCCTGCCTAGCATTAGTGACGATTAGATTCAATCCTCAGTTCCCACCAAGTACCACTACAACATATAAGAAACAGAATCCTCTCCAAGCAAGAGAGAGAAGGGAGGGGATCATAGCACCAATTCTGTAGACACTGTGACAGTTTATTTCTAGTTCATCCCACTGACACCTCTGACAGCTGAGACGACAACCTTCCCAGCACATGGTCTGTGGAGCCCTTTTCATAGTGATTATTTTCTCACTCCAGTCCAAAGGTCTGCATCTTTCATCATGATACACATTTTAAGGTAAAATTGTCAATGCAACCCTCAAAATGCAAGTTTATTGAATAAAGCTGAGAGGAGCAGTAAACAGACAAAAAAAATGCATCCACACCTAAATAAAAAATTTACGTATTTACAAAGTTCAGTAACTGTTAGGTTTTCACATGCAGAGGTTATGCACAGGAAAATGTTGGTAGTAGCTTTTAGATGTTCTGAAATGCTTGAAAGCAATGGAAAGACACATAAACAAATTAAGGTTTCTATAGGTCAATTAACAAAACCCTATTCAGTCCCCGCTTACTTAAAACATTCTGGTTCCAATCCCTCCTTTTAGGCACAAGCAAGTTGCCACATTCTTTGAAATGGTTCACAGTGACCATTAGTCATGTCGGGCTACAGGAGCAAAGTTTAAATATCCCTTTATTCAAACCACCTATCCCATTCAGGAAGAGTGCAACATGCCTCCAGGAATAAGAAGAGAACTTTAAAGCCCAGAGTCTACTCATTAAAAATGTGAATGGAGAAAACAAGTAGTGTCTGTGCAACACAGTGCAGTTATCTGTACAGAATGTTCTTAAGGCCGTGGCAGTCTATAAATTAAAACTGTATTCAGTAAAAGAACTTACTACTGACTACACTTGGAGTGCTCAACATATCTGAGTATGTACTGTTGACACAGGTGCTGCTTAACAGAAGAGACAAATCACACACAGTGTGAGCAACACATAAGCAGGTAGGACCATGGGGTTTATCTACTACATCGGCATGAGTAACAATTTACAAGTCAACCAGTATTAATATGTCCCTTTATGTACGTGGAGATCACTAAGCTACAAAATATGTTCATTGTAAGTTTTTGTACAGCTCTGTATCATAGAAGCAAACAATAAACAGCATTGGTTCCTCCGTTCTCCGATTGGCCGATCATTAAACAACCTGTAGACGTTGCGCATGATTACATTAGATAAAGCAGGCAGGTCTAGAGTTGTCACAATCAGTAAGTCTAGTGGCACCAGTGAAAAGAGTGCCAAACCTTACATTGGTAAGAAAAAAATAGGAATTTGTTTATAAGTATCCTTTGTGCTGAAAGTCAACTTCATGACTTGATAGAAAAAGTCAGGAGTTAAGGGTGTCATGCAGCAGCACAGGGTGGGTGACTGGAGACAAAGAACAGACGTGTATTCATATGAAGTCAGACATTCTTAAAGGGTTTTATTACATTAGCTGGAATGCTCTAAATTCATGAAAGCTTTTGAAAAAAAAATTCTTCAATTCCCATCCCTTTAAAAAAGTGTGTTAAAAGGGGGGGAAAAAAACTAATGATATGGACAGATACAAAAGAGCATGCTGTAACTCCTCCCATCTCCCCAAATGCTATCTGGTGACAAAGGAGTTTCAGAAAGCAGAATGTTTTAAAATTCACCAGGTAGGTAATCTCCAGTGTGAGGAACCCACTGTTCTGACCTGGTGCCTCTGTTAACTCTTGACAGACCAATTATCCCTACAGTGTAACTCTACATTTCACATGCATGTGTGAGATGGGATAAACAATATGTCCGTATCCCACATAAGTCAGGCTTAAAAGTTTTTTCTAAATACTGTGTGGCACTAGGAATTCCATGCTGCATCAAGTCAGTACCAGTAGAAGCTACTGGACTCCATAATGAAACACGTAGACATTTACTGAAAACCAATACAAAAATCTGGCCCAGAAAGACCAGAATGGTAATGTGCAATTTTCTTAATTAAGATGGTCAAAAATGTGGGTGTTTTTAAAATAGAAAGGAAAGAGGCCTCAATACATTAGAAAAAACGTGTGTGAAGCCTTTTAGTGTGTGCTGACTTTTATCATGACAACTCCAGCTGGTTTGTTACGAAGGATAGGAATACACATCTTCAGCAGTGCACATGAGAAATAAACTCTGAAAAAGGCAATTTCTTGGATTTAGGAAGGACCATGTTCTGGGAAGTACTTCAGAGGAACGACAGTAGTTCTAGGATTATAGCCAAGAAGGACCGGAAGACTCAGAAGATGTCTCAGCTTCTCCGGGATTTTGAGTGTTGAATAAGCCACTGAAGTGTGATATCTATATTATCCTTTTCTTTGCAAGAAATTGAATAGCAGCAAATTTCTCTATCCTGAATAGCAGACAGGTTCATTTTTTCAATTAGCTGTTTTTCATCCAAGGCATTTGGAAGATCTCTCTTGTTTCCAAGTACTAGTACTGGAATTCCTTGTAACTGTGGTTTATCTAGAAGATTATGCAGTTCATTTCGAGAGGCCTCTATCTTTTCTCGATCTGCAGCATCTATCATGTAAACAATTGCATTGACTCCTCTGCAATACCGCTCCCACATGCTCCGGAACCGGGGTTGTCCTCCTATGTCCCAGATCTTTATTGTGACGTTGCCTTTAGTTACTTTCCTCATGTTGAAGCCCACTGTGGGTATCATATCTTCACTGAATTGACCAGACGCGATGACATTGACGAAGGTGGTCTTGCCGGAGTACTGCAGCCCCACGAGCGTCAGTTCCATCTCCTCCTTCCAGAAGAGCGAGCGGAACCAGTCCAGCAGGCGGGAGATGAGCGCCAGCATGGCGGCGGCCGGCAGCGAGCGGGGACGGGCTCGGACGACAGCGGACACGGCTTCCCACGAGCGGGTATCGGCCCCGAACCCGCCAACGGCTCTTCGGTGGGGCCCCCGGCGCGACTCGGGCAGACACAGGCAGGCGGCTGCGACGCTAGTACATGCTCTTAATGACCGAGCCATCTCTATAGCCTCACAAATGGATTTATATATGATAACGTTATTTAACTGTCTACTTATTTTATCTAAAATTGAAGTTATAGATATGTTTTCAAAAACTCTGGTAACCATTAAAGACATTTTAGGAGGGATGAGGTTAAGGAAGCAGAAAATTCATGTTCAGTTTATACTACTGAAGATAATGTCTTAGTTAACAGAAAAATATTTTAAAACTAACATGCATGGTATCGAGGAAATGTTCAGATAAAGCAAGAATTAAGCAAAATGTGATTATTAATAAGATATCTTTGGATTTGTAGAGTAGGAGCTTTCTGTAATCCAGGCTATCTGATCACCTGAGATAAACCACCATTTTCTTAAAGTGTTTACTAAAGAACACTTTACAAATGCTATGCAACGTGTTTGGATTAAATATAAGATTTTAAACCTTGCTTTAAACAAAAAACCTTAAAGATTTTTGTTCTATTGAACTGAGCTAAGTATCTAAAGCTTCAAACTAGAGTAGAAGTTTCAAAACCTTTAGCATCCAAGAGTGTGTGACTCTAGAGTTCTGGATGCAGTTCTGTCTCATGCATATACCCACAGTCATGTTTGCATGTACACACTGAAGTTTGATCTGGCTTCTCCTACCAGTCTCAGTACTTTTCTCAGGAAGACTGACCTTTCAACTAATACATCAGAACTCCAACAGTCCGCATGCAAATTCAAATATGAACTGACAAGGATGTATGTCAGAGAGGAATGAGAAACACAGAAGTATATACAAACCCAGCGGAATTCTGACTTCCTAAAAACAGCCTATTGTCTCTTATAAAATGTTTAACAGCAGTGTTACTGGGCAATCTCTAACTTTTAAATATTTCCCATATTTCAGCACAATTCAGCAAATACAGAAATATGCTCACAGAGTGTGGATGATGGCTCCTGCTATAGGAATGCTACCTGCATCATTAAAGGAGGCATTCATTACAATGCTCCATGATTATTCACTGAATGAGTGAAGCTGGTCCTCAGTACAGCTTACCAGGGGAAGAACTAGTCAAGCAAAGTTCTTGTAGCATTTGCTTTGCTAGGGACAGGTTCCGAATATATTAACTAGTGTCTCTATGTAGGGCTTCTGTGGTTTGGCCAAGGGGAAGAATGTCTCTACACATTGGTCTGTGCATGGTTCTTCTATTTAGCTAAATGACTGCACTTCTACTCTGCAAGAGTTTAAGTGATGAAGAAGAAAATTTAAATGTGACCTTGAAGCAGAATGAAAAAAGAACTAGGTGACAACTTGTGATTTAATGCTTTGATGACCTGTGCCCTGAAAAGGAGGCGAAGAGCTAACTTCTTCTCTCCTTCTCTCCCTTGATAGACTGGTGACTCTATAAAATGTTCTCCTTGACACCATCTGCTGAGAGTGTCCCTCGGTAGTACTGCTCCATTAAGAATGCACAAAGTCCCAGGTTAGTTGACTCTGTAGGTGTTCTTACAGAACCTGGGCCACCAACCAGGGAACATGCAGTAGCTGGACCTAAGTATCTATACCAAATGTGCAGCTTGGTGTTCATGTGTTTCTGCCAGTAAGAGGAACAGCAACTGTCTCTGTCTCTGTTCCCTGCCATTGGAGCCCCTTCCTCCCATTTGGTCTGCCTGGTTGGGCCTCGGTGGGAAAGAATGTTCCTAGATCTGCTGAGACTAGATACTTCAGGGTGGGGTAGTACCCGTGGGGAGTTTCCCTTCAAAGAAGGGGAGGGGGCAATGGGTAGAAAGACTTATAAAAGAGTGGGAAAGAGAGGAGAGGAGGGAGGGGACTGTGATTGGGACATAAAGTGAATAAATAAATTAATATAAAAATACACAACGTGTAGGCTGCATGCTCATTTCAATTTTCACTTCTCTGTTTCCTTTTCCTTAAAAGGAAGATAAATATAATTTAACTGTATTATATGTATGAAAATATCTATATGACTCAATAAAAAGAAAGAATTAGATAGGACAAATTCACTCATTACTTGACAAAACCACACAGTATTGCTCAACATTAGCACACAGTAGTGCCTAACTTCGCAGTGCCTAACATCAAAAAATGCCGCAGAAACCACGGCTCTCCCAGATTCTGGGCTTAGTTTGAGACCTGGGTTTTGAACTATTGACTTTTTTTTTTTTTGCTTACTTTAATACTTTAGCGTTCTTCACCAAATAGTCCTGCCACTCCTATTTTTATCATTTTATCCATTTAGGTATTAAGAAATGTTGGCGTCAGAGCTTAAGTCATGATTACAAAAGTACTGTAGGTAAACTTTCAATTATCACCTTAAAATCTGAGAGTTTTCCCTTTTTTCCTTGCGTGACTATTACTGGTAAGGTATTTATTCATATTGTCCGAATCCAGGTTGAAAAAGATATCCCTTGATTTGGGTTCTGTTGTCAGTAAGCTTAGTTGTCAAGGTGCACTAAAGCAGACTTTCTGCTGTGTGGGCTGCTCACGTAATATTATGAGACCCATCACTATGTTCATTCTTTAGAATTTCAGACCATGGGGAACACCCTGACAGTGTGGTTCAAAACTAAAGCGTGAGAACAGGGCCCCCATTTTTCTGCTTTTATTTTCTCTGGCCTCCTTTTTACAGTTAGGAGGCTTCACCTGATCAGGAGGTACAACCATAAGGACAGAAGTAGCCACTCACAGATGAGGGACCCATAGCTGTACATGAAAGTACAAATTCCCAGACCCTATTTTATTTTTGAAGGGGCTTCATATCTACAAATAGGGGAACTCATAGTCATTCATAAAATCCATTTCATTGTCAGTCATCGATTCAGCCAATATATTGGTTGCAATTTGCAAGCTACGTTTTTGTTGACCTTAAATTGTTTTAACTCAGTTCTGAAGTTCATATATACACATTCATACTTAGAGACACTTATATATCAATAGTCATATAAACATGCAGTCACATAACCCATACACACACATATACAACATACATTTATACACACATGTACCTAAACACACACACAGATACATATGCACACACAACATATACCCAAACACACACACACACATGCACACATGCACACACTCATTTACTGTAGCTGCAATTCATCTCCCTTTCTGATGAGTGACTTTGACACTCATGTTTTACAGGGCTTTCTCTGTCCTTGAGTTAATGATGATGTTTCTGCTGCTGATAGACTTCATGTTGTGTTACATTAACGAAAGTCACCTGCACATCTCCTGATCCCAGAAGCAAGGGATAACTCTCAATCTTACTATGTTTGCTCTTTTACAATTAGCTGCCTTTCTCTTATTAGTTGTTAAACATTAATTTATTAGTTTTACTGTTGTTGGACACATTTAAGATTATTTCTAATCTTCACCCACAAATACCTCAATGGAATAAATTGTTCCAGAATATTTCAATATTAAAATCCAGAATGTCAGGTTCAGGAAGTGGGAGGAGAGACATTTGACATCTACTAGAGGTTAATCTTGTTATTGGAAATAGTTAACCAGAAATGATCCTTTGTGGCTAAACACCAGACCAATGGAGTTGCCCTGGTTTAATTCCTTCACAAAAAAAAAACTACAGTAAATGCACAAACATATTTTTTTGTGATTTAAAATATAAAAACCCACCATGTAATCTGGACCCTCTTTTCTATGTAATTATAGTCATTTTCTAAAGTGTCTGGTATGAAAACATACAGCCACGACTGTAGTTTGCAGTAATTTCTCACGAAAACATCTCCGAGATCAACATCCATTATATTGCCCTCTGTACTCGACAACCCAAAACTACTTAAACTCTTTGCTGTTGAGCTGAGTATTGATCACGGCTGAGATGAGTGTCTGTGGTGCTCTGAGTTCATTCATAATGTCATCCCAAGTGCCATCCCTGGGACCTGCTGTGCTACCCAAGGAACAATGAAAGCAGAGGCCATTTGTCTGATGCAGCGTTCATATCAAAGGGCTGCACAAAGCAATGGCTCACTATTGACAAGGCATGCAAAACAGGTAGAGGAAGATTTAGCAAGAGAAAAGAAATCCTGGACAATTCACAGCCTTAAAATGACATCCTTCCACCTTCTTTAAGATACATCTATATGTTTTGAAGAAACATCAGAGGCTTTTTAGACTACAAAGCAAATTCTTTATGCCCCCTTTCTGCAACTTCAAAAGTCAATACTTCCTTTTAAGAAATTACTCTCTTCAGGAACTTACTTACTTACTTGGGTATTGCAGTGTGGGAAAGTCAAACTTTCTTTGGAGCAGTTCCATACTTTCCCAGGTTAAGAACAGATCAACACTGCCAATATTTTCCTTTTTTCTCACCAGTTCCATTCTATGCCTTTGTCATTCCATGTACTGCTTGTGAACCAATGCTTTCCCTTTTATCTGCTGGAATTATGTATTCTTTCTATAACCACCTATTTTGTAAAGGAACAGATAAGCACCCTGGAAAACAATTTGCCATGCAGCTTTTCTTTTATGAAAAGTTAGGTTCTTATCAGGTAAAGTCATAATGTGAGAACGTGTTTACTTGGTAATAAGATCTCACACAATATCCTTTTCTATATTGGTTTTATTACAAAGTGCATCTTTGCGGGCAGACTCAGGAGCACAGAGAAGGCTCCCTATAAAGGCCTTTGAAAAGGCATGCTGAAATATGTCCAGCTAAATCATGCTGAGAGATCTGATTGTTGATGAGTTTTGTGTGGGGGTGTATATCAGAGTACTCTTAGAAAGAAAAAGTTGCAGAAAGTTGCATGAGAAAATCCCAGACAGTTTTCCAAGGTTAGACACAAACCTTTTCCAGAGTAAGCTGAAATATGGCCATCTCAGAAAGATGGTTGATGGTCATACTGATAAACTAATAGCTGTTCATTATTACTTTACTGCATTTTCTTCTATCACACCACCAGTTATAACTATTTATTGCTTTGTTTTTTTTTC